TCCCGTCCTGGGGCTTTTCGCCGAAGAAAGGGAAAGAGGACAGAAAGAGAAAGAGAGTGAGAGTGACAAAGCTGAATGAGCAAACAAATAGAAAAGTGTCATGGGGAAGGGGGGGGGCGGCGCCGGGGCTGGCCAGTATCATTATCTTTTCGCGCGCGCATAGACTGCTTGTGTTTTTAAAAAAAAAGAGACGCTATTTCGGGCCTCATTGCGACGAAAAGAGCCACTTTCCTTCAGCCCCCTCGTGGGGAAAAAAATGGGATTATATTCTGATTACTGATACTGCGAGAGAAAAAAGGGTATAGTTCGTATATATATGTACATGTGAGTTAAAAAAGTACACTAAAGCGCGCCCGCACACGCGCACGAACTTCAACACATATCCCCACTCCCCCCTCTTGCAAGGAAAACAAGCACTTGGATGTTGCATTATCCTAAATGCGGGCATCGAACAGCAACACCTATCGGGGAAATTCAGAGAGAGAAAAAAAGGGCCAAAAGCCCGCTCTCTTCCACCCCTCCCAAGCAGCAAGCTGCGGGTATGCCATGCAGACATACCTACAGATTCTACCTAATCTCTCCTTACCTACTGCTTACTTACTTCCACCCCCCATGTAATCTCCCTTAAACTAATGCACCTCAACCCAACGTGGCTCCTATCCATACACTACACCCTTAGCTACATAGTCAAAAAAGAGACAAGAAGGGAAGGAAAGAAGGCAAGCAGGCAGACAGGCAGGGCAGGAAGGAAGGAAGAGGGCGCCGTAATATTCCTTCCTGTTACTATCAGCGGCGCCCCGCTCCCCCCACCTCTTCCAATCGCCCAACCGGCAGTATTCCAGCCACACACATACACACATACATACATATATATGCATTGGCGGCTGATCGCATCTTCCGATGCTGATTCGCCATGGCGGCCGGAGGGGCCCCCCATGAAAAGCGAAATTGAAAGCCACAATCGCGCGCGCGCGCACCCCCGCCCGCACCGCGCCGTTGAAAAGTCCTTGGAAGGGAAGGGAGGGGAAGGGGGGAAATAATCTCCCTTTCGTAGTTTTGACGTGTGTGGTGTTCTAGGGCTGCGCGCGGGTTGCGCTGCTTTTACCCTTTTTCAGAGAGAGAGAGAGAGAGAGAGAGGAGAGAGGCACTCATGGATGGCGGGTGCACACAGCGACAAAGCGCGTGCGCGCGGGGCGGGGCGGGGAAGAGATTTATATGTACATGGTACAAAAGGGAAAGAGGGGAGGAAGAGAAAAAAAAGAAGATATTCAAAAAAGGGAAATACAAAGTGTGTTGTGCATCGTGTATACACATATGTATCTTGAAGGGGGGGGGGGGGAACGGACGGAGATGCGTGCCGATCGGCCCCAGGCTGATTACTTGCTTAACACACACGCCAAGTACAGGTCCCAGGCATCGGGAAGCGAGCCCTTTTGTCCGCTTGTGGGGAAACTTGGTGCTGGCAAATGACTGGGCAAAGCAAAGAAGACAGAAAGAAAGAAAAAAAAAGGGCAGATCGCCCGCTCATCGGAAGCACGAGGAAAGGGAAAGGGAGGCTGGATGCATGCTTGCGACGTCTTGTTCCGGGCCTTTTCCCCAATCTGAAACACAATTCTGCGGGTGATCTGAGTTAGGTGCTTGACCGCACCTATGAAGTCATCAAATCGTAAGGATCTCTCTTTTTTTTTCTTCTCTAAACTAACCCCCCCCCCTCAAAAGCTGAAAAAGATTCTGCCCGTCAACGTGATCATATGCACTTGATTTGCCGTAATTGGACGCTTATCCACCGCGTCCAGGTGCGGCCCCTCACCTCACCTTGTCTCCGAGGGGCCGCTCTCAGCTCGTCACCTCTTTTTTTTCCCTTGGGCTCGATTTCTCTCTCTCTCTCTCTCTCTCTCCCCCGCTCACTCGGATTCGCGTCCGTGTGTGTATTTCTCTTAAACAAGAATGGATCCCTATGGTTTTTGACCTAAACAAGTAAAAAGTCCACCTTTTTTTCCCTAACCGTCGCGTGTAAAAAGTAGGATAAAAGGAAATCAGTCTCCGAGGATATGGTACGCGCCGGTGGTAAAAAAAAAAAGTCAATATTTTCCTCCAACCTACACTGGCGGTTTTTTTTTTTGGATTGCCCTTTTGTGAGCGAGCGAAGCGCGGGTATTGGCTTCTGGGATCGGTAGTCGTGCCGGCGCCTTGACTAGTAGTGAAATAGATGCAACAATAGCCCCCAAGTGGCCTCCGTTTTCCCATACTTTACCCAGCTCATAGTAACACTGCTAAAGGACCTACCTGACTCGTTGCGCCGGAGCCAGATCCACCAAGCTCGAGTAGCCTAATCTCCACGTAAACAAGACAAATCCACCCCTCCCATTCCCATGACTTTTTAGCTTCTGTGGAACAAGCCGTCGTATCTCAGCCGCTGCTACATTACATGTGTCACCTGAAAAAATGCACTAAACTAATGGCTGATAAAGGCCGCGTTGCTACCTTGAGAGAGAGGGAGGGAAATGCAATCCAATCGACGTCTGAGCACGAACAAAGTCTACAAATCTTACTAGTGCCGTGGTTGATTTTTTTTGGACCGAGCCATTTGCATGGCAAATCGTTCCGTTTGATCAACGGCCGCAGTCTGTTGAATTAGCCCAATCTACCAGTGCACACACACACACACACTACGATCTGCAAACTACGGCTGACACGCTTCACTACTACGGTACCGTAGCAGCGGGGAGCAACCAGTCTAGAACTCGACAATGAAGTTGATCCTTCGGTCATTCGACTGGGATTCTTATGCTCCAAAGTGAGGCACCCACTCTGACATGCGGCGTGATGAAGATCCTCTGCGAGGGGTACGTATTCGTGTGGCGGTGCGGCATCATCTTATCGTACCCTCGCCTCGGTACACCTACGTTATCCAAATGCCATATTTCAAGTGGCGAAAAGTCGTGCTAACGTCATGCGTCATTCGAATGCGAGAGGCAATTCGGATCTCTGACTCAGAGCGTGTGACCGACCTGCATATTACAAGCGTACCGCATAGAAATAGAGTAGTGTGGCACAGTCCAGCGTTCGCGAGCCGTTGTGGCGAAGGCGAAGGGTCCAGCCACACTACCTCGCCACTTGCCAGACTCGCTAGATTACACAACGTGTCGATCTCCGACTAGACCATTGCCCGCTCATTGGCTCATGCATAACCTTATACACTTACATATGTAATGTAGACTTTACTACAACGTTACCGAGCTGCTTTTTGGAACGCGAGCGTCGTCAACCAACACACTGCGCCATTCTATTGGATCTTCGTGTATTCGCCATCGGCTCGACTAGCACCAGCCAGGCTTTGCACACCTGACGTGTATGCCGCCTCGGATTTCGTGTCCTGATCTGTTTTCAGAGCCCTGTGGCAAAACAAAAAAAAATAACAATGCTCAAGGGAATGTGCTTTGGGTCTTCATGCACGTTGCTCCCTACTAATGTTAAAAGCATGGGGTTACAGGAATGCCGAGCAACGGCTATTCGGATAGTCTGGTTCTAGGTGTGTACACCTAGACCTTCATAGCCCGTGCATCCCCATAGAATCGTTAAGCATGGGTGCCGTGTTCCGCGATCCGTGTGTATACCATCAGACCACCCGTGCATGAGCGCTCGCATAAACAACCATAAACTGCGATGGTAAGGCTGTGGATTTGACGCAAGCGACAATCGGTAGGATGCGCACATGTTTCAAGTGTACGATAAGTGAGGAGACGACTCGGCAACAACACCGCCTACCAGGTTCAATCGGCCCGTTCTTACTCGACGCCTGTTCTGTAATTGCCAGCGCATCCTCCACTCCCTGCTCCTTCGGTTTGTCTCTTCGGGCTCACGTGTGTCGTCGTCGTGATTCGTGAGCGGCTTGCTGCAGTATGACATCAAGTTTCGGGCGCGCCATCCTTAGGGCCGGAACGTGTTTTTGGCGGCATCGGCTACTCTACCCACACTACCCGCCAGCCCCCCCCCTCAATTTCTTACTTTCAGGGGCCCCCACTTGAGCGTAGAAGGATGCGATATGCCTGTTTCCGATGGCCATTTCCTCATGCATTTGCGAATATGATGCCCATTATGAACGCCCTTGTTCCCCTTGAAGCCGATAATGCCAGAGCTGGCGATGCAAAGGTGCATTCTTCTGCCTCTCAGCTCAGCAAGCGCCCGTGGATAGCTTAATTTCCGGGGGTTGGTGGTAGCGCGTCAAGGTTTAAAGGGCGCCAAGGCGTCGAGAGCATGCGAAGTGACATTTATGGATAAATCGTGATACGGGGACTTGCTCGGATAGAAAATGCTTCGTGGAGTAAAAGAATGTCACTATGCCATAATGTTAGTGGAGTACGTACGTGCGTAGCATCCGGTCCAGCTTCGGTCGCACATCGCGCATTTTAAGACATGGATGATTTGAAAATTTGACTGAAAAGGAAAGAAAATCGGACATGTTGCGACAGTTCAAGGAGTGAAAAGACTTTGATTAGGCTTCCAGGGTAATCTGGGTATGTGCACTGTGGAAAACGAAGTAGCCCATGCTTGTTGTCTGTGAGAAAGAGAGAGAGAGATAGAGAGAGAAAAATTACAACCCCCAACGCGCCCTCCTCGTACTGCGTATGTGTATCTCGCCATATGTTCGTAACAGATCGTCGATTTGCAATCTTAACCTCTGGGAAAGTTGGAATGGTAATGGTATAATGGGTATCGTCGTCGCACCGAAAAGAAGAATAGAAAGGTATAGGACATAGGAAACAAAAGCAATCGCTCAACTCAAGCGCATCACTTGGCCAAGAAACGCGACAGGCCAAATGGTCGAGTTGTGTGAAGCAATAGGAAAAAGCAAAAGTCATGGCGACTCGTGTCATGGCGATACGAGGCTCCAAGAGACGAACGGTACGGGTCATTACGGTCGGTCGGTTGCCGGAAAAAAAACAGGGTATCAAGGTGAAAAAGGAACGGCGCCTTACTCAGTGATAGGCAAAGAAAGCCTAGAAGAGAAGGCGTAGTTCGTAGCCAGTCGAATGGACGTTTTCGGTGACACTGATATCTCCATCGACCTGAATGTCTGTAGGGCCGGCGTCCCACTCGCGCTTCATCGAATGCGCCGGAGGCGTGCCGATTTCGTGGAATTCAGCCGTCATGTCCTGTTGCTCCGGTATCCTGCTGACTGCATCATCGTCCATTAAGATTTGTAGTCCTTTCTGGTTAACGCGGATGGTCCGTGTCACCTTGCTAGGCTCAATCTTGAGCTTCATCGCAATGCCAGTGACAAGCTCCTTGACAGTGCGATCCATAAGGTATACGGCTCGGAAATAGTTGTCCTCTGGCTGGCGACCGGCGAGCCTGGGCTGGACGAAAAAGCACGCAACTGGCTTGAGCAAGGGCTCTGGTGGTGGCTGGTACGTCTGGTCAACGCCAAGAGCTTCGATCCATCCAGAAAGCGCGTGATCGTCGGAATACGGTCGTTGGACTTTGGTTGGGACATCTGCGCCTCCGTGCATATTCGCCATTCCCTTGAGATCGCCAGTAGCGGTTTGCGGAAGATTTCGCCACTCGTTTGAAGACATGCGCGAGGGCGGTTGGAAGGGCTGCGGACGTTGGAAAGAAGAGGCGCGACGTTTCTCCGACTGGAGAGATTGTGAGCTGGGAGTTGGAGATACCACGGACGAAGTCGATGTCTGTGGATCGTGTCCATCCCACATTTGTGCATCCACGTTGGTGTCCAGCTTGGAGAGATCGTGGGACGATGCGCCCAAGACAACTGGATGCAGATCTGGGTCGTCCTGTGCTTCTCCTTTGAGGTAGAGAACACTGACAGGCCTGGTCGAGCTGAACATGTCCTGCAAAGACGCCAGTTTGATATGAAGATCTTCTTCAGCTGGCGCGCGAGCTCCTTGATTGTCGCTTGTCGAAGACATGGACCAAGTCCGCTTGTGCTTGGGCACCTTGCCGGGTCTTTGACTCATGGTGCCTTTGGAAATTGAGCCACTGCGCTTCCGCTTGCCAAAGTCTTTCATTCCAGACTCGACTTGCGCAATTTGCTGCTTGAGCTTGTCGATCGTCTTCTTGACGTGCGCAACATCGTTGGACAGTTTCCGCTCGGCGCCGTGGTCTCGGAAGAGCTTGACCTTGCAATAACAAAGCTCGGCTTCTGATCGCTGGGGCGATGATCCAGCAGTCTCCGTGATCAGCTCCGTCTTTGCGCAAAGTCGAACCGGGATGCCCTTGACGCCTTTGGAATGGCTAAAGTCGGTAGAGAGGAAGTTGAAGCGCACAGCCAACGAACACTCTGGCGAAGCATTGGGAACGGGCGTCCATGTTACCACGAAGCCGTCAAACGAGGATGATTCCAGCTCTACCCTGGGTCGGCCTTGGACTTCGCCGCCGCCTACTTGGCTCGGGTCAACAAATTCAACAGCTTGCAGGCGTCCGCCACGCTGATGGGCTTCATTCGTGCCTCGACCTTCTTTCCATAGTTGCCAGCAAGACGCGGGTCGCTGGCGTTGTTGCTCGTCCTCGAATGAAATGCGAATAAAGGTCCTGTACTTGAGATTTGGCGAAGGGGGCTGGAGTGGAGCCGTATCGACCAAGGAGATGGAGTAAGCTTGTCCCTTGTTTAGATACGTCACCGGGACCTCGTCTGGCTGCTTGACCATAGCTGTTGGCGCATTCAGAGTGACGTGGTATCGGAAGCTATCCAAGTTAGCAGGTGTATTCCACAAAAATGACACGTGCTTTGCAACTCACTTTTGATTGGGTGGAGGGGGTGCAGATTGGACTGCAGATGCTATGCTGTCATATGAATGGGGTGCGAAGCCTATGAGAGGCGATTGCTCTTGCATCTCGACTTCGGGCACCATGTTGTCCATGGGAGAATTCTCATGGGTTTGCGCCAAAGGGCGCTGGTCAAAGGCCGAAGGCTGGTGAGTGAATTGGTGGGGCGCAAAAGACTGCGAATGCTGCGGCTGCATGCCAAAGGGATTGGCATTTTGGAAGTGGTGAGAGCCGAGGGCATGGTGGTTGAAACCATGCAAGTGGGCAGTAGGTGCGATCTGGCCGGCATGGAGTCCACCTTCTGAGGTGGGAAGCGACAGTGGGGTGCCTAAGCCAAAGCTGAAGCCAGGCGTGTGCAGGTCGCCGGCCTGACTGTGGTAGAGCGTATTGGTGCCACCCGGAGTTGGGGTGTAGTAGCCAGGCGGCTGGTTTGCAAAGGAGGTGAATGCAAAGCTGTTTGGGTCGAGCAGTGAGGGCGTAAACCTCCAGGGCTCATTGTTGCCGCGCGGAGTGGGGTCCTGGTCCTTGATGTCCTCATGGCTGTCAGGCTGGCTGTTGCGGGCCATAAAAGTTAGCAGTTGGGTGCATGACTTGGTTGACATGGACATGTCGGTGGTTGCGCGCAAATGCGTCCCGAGGGATCGGAAATGCCATGTCGGGGAAGACGTACCGAGAGGGGTTTGCGATGTCCAAGACATCGGCGAGCGAGTGGCCTGGCGGCGCGGCGAGAGAATGGGAGCGCTGCTGGATGTGGGGGAAGTTTGCCTTGAAGTCTTCTAGCAGTTTCCCATCGGGCTTCTGGCTGTTCAGTCTGTGAGGGGTTAGGCAGTCAGCAGGCTGGTTTTTTTGGGGGAGTGCAAAGGCAGCGTTCGAACGCGACGCGCGCAAATCACATGCGAGCTTGGGCATGGCGGCGGGCGTGACGTACCGATTTCGAAACATGGCATCGGGCTTTCACTCGGGCGATTAGCAGGATGGAGATTCGGGGAGCATCTGGTTGACGGGTAGTGTTTGTGTTGGGGCGAGTGTGGCTTGGTGGGGGGGGTTGAGGCTGGGAGGGAGAGAGAGAGAGGGAGAGAGGGAGGGAGAAGGTGAGGGAGCGAGGGAAGCAGCAGCAGCGTGGGAAGCGGATCTTCTTGGGTTGATGAAACAGAGAGCAGCTGCCACGAGAAAGGCAAGCCTGGGAGAGTCAAGCCACAGGGCGACGTCCAGGGCCGGTGGTCAGACGTCTTTTTAGCTAGCGACGAGCAGCGCATCCACCATGGGCTTGACGGAATTGCTCGAGGGCCGCGCGTGGGCAAGGGTGGAGCATCGGGTCTAGGCACACACACACACCACAGCAGCAGCAGTACACACATGCACATCCACACATGCACACATTCACATGGTCCCTGCGGGCCTGCCTGTTCTAACGCTGCCCTAGCTGGGCGGTCGGGCTGGGCTGGCTGGGTGGTGCTAGGCCCGAAGCTGCTGCTCCACTGTACGAGTACTCACTTAGCATTAGTGCTGTGCGGCGGCGCGACATGCACATGGGCCCAGCCGACAGAACAGACGCTGCTCCCATGGCCTGGCATGCTCCCCCAGCACACGCACAAGCACACAAGCGCAGAGCCGGCCGCCTGCACAGCCACGGCCCTACGGCAGACGCGAGCCGCCCTCCAGTCGTGCTGTACCGCATCCGGGCCCGATTTGCAGTGCAGCTGTCGCCATCCCGCACAAGGGCCGCCGGGCATGCTGCGAGCCTTTGACCGACGACATGGTACACTTGGTTACTGTATTGTAGTAGTCTAGCATACCATACCACGCCATACTACTGGCCTAACAGCTCCAACTCCAACAACACGTCTTCTCCCCCGTCCAGCCACCTTGCAGCCCGCGGCGCACGGGGCCCCCATGGTGGCTTCACCAAGCCCTTCCGTGTGCATTGCCGTAATTTACTCGTCCAGAAGCCCTCGGCTCGCACGCTATGCCGTCTTGGTCGCCAGGCAATCGCATGGCGCCTACCGTGTGCGTTGGCTCCTCAATGCGAAATGACATATGTCGGCCAGGGCCCCGTTTCCACTCGTCGACCGATGCTGGCTGTTGGCTGCGCTGACGGCCCTGGTCCGCTGCACTGCGCTGCGCTGCACTGCACTCGCTCCCATTCCACGCGACAGACATGTACACATCCCCCTCCCTTGTCCATGCTTATGTACTTGCCTCATGCTTGCTATTGCTGCTTGCTCCTGCTCCTGCTCCTGCTCCTGCTCCTGCTCCTGCTGCTTCTCCTGCCGCCAGCACTCCCCTGCGTTTGCGCGCCGGATCGGAGACGAGGTTCCACCCCGCCAAATTCGCCAAATTCGCCTCAGAGCCATGCCTGCCCACTGCTCCTGCCCACCATGTCCACCCACCAATCCCACAGCCGGCCGTTGGCGCCCTCTCGCTTGCCCTTAGCCAGCCTCGCTGCCTGTGCCTGCCCACTACCCGCCTACTCGGAATGACCTTAATGCTCAACGTTATCCCATCACCTGCCAACCCGAGATTAACGACTGTGCTTTAGTGGGCGTTTGCCCGACGACACACAGCACAGCTGCCCCGTCCATCAAAAAATCCCCATCCGCCATGTTCGCCCATGTCGTCATCGTGCCGCCGCTCGGCCCTTTGGCTCTCCCTGCGGCCCTTGTGCTTGCCAGGCCCCAGAGGGTCGAAATTTCTTACCATCCCAGCAATCAAACGTCACTCTGTCCTGCGGTTACACCCACCGCCCGTCCCGGTTGGTCATTGCATCCAATGCTGACACTACCGGGCCAATCGCTCGCCTCCGCCAGTAGTCATTCGGCACCTGCAGTAGTCGTGGTAATCCCATCCCCATCTCTATGCTCATCAATGCACACAAAAATAGTCGTGGCAACTGTTTTGTTGCAGGCGCTGATCGACAAACGGGACGAGCTACGAGGCCACCACTTACGCTGCTTCTGCGCCTGCTTCTGCTTCTGCTTGCAGCTCTGCGCCTCAATCCCTTTCGCAATGTTCCCGTCGCATGTGCATGCTTCTGATTGGCCCGACCCAGCAAACACTCACACCTCGCTGTGGCACAGACCCACTTACTCGCCACACTCGCCACACCCCGACGCCACACTTGCAGATCCATTTCCGCCCAGACAAGCCAGATGCCGTCGCAACGCGTATGCTTGCAGCACCGTAATAGCCAAACACGACGGCATCTTTCGTAGGGCTGGACGTTCACCACATGAGCTCATCCACCGTCACTATTAGTCCGAGTCAAGAACGCCCCCCAAACTATCTTTCTTACTCTTCCGCGCCGCGGTCTTTTTTTGATTGTCCAATCTCTGTCCAATCTTCAATGGACCCTGGGTGTCTCTCTCTCTCTCTCTCTCTTTCTCCCCTGAAGCTTGCATTAGCTACTTTCACCACAATAACAAGGCGAGGCAAAGTCCAGAAACTTCTCTCTTCTTTGTCCGTACCACTTGCGATGCCATAGCCTTCCATCAATGTCCAAAAGGAAAGAAAAGAGAGAGAGAGAAAACGCCTCGCCGTCATGGCGGCAAACATGATACACAGGAACATTTACCGCGAATACGTAGTCAAACGTAAAATCCCGCGCGCGGGCGCGCCCCCCTTCTGATCTCAACTTCCTTCCTTCCCCCTTTGGCTACGGTTTACTCATCTCGCTAGCTTTGTCCGGCCACTAAGATTGGTTATTTCACCTAGCAACTTTGGTAATTTCACTACCCATCACCCGGATCGCATTTCGTCTCGTCCAGACCCTCTTGGTCTGTAACCCCCCAGCAGCCGCCCGGCAGTCAAACGCCTAGAACGTCGCCCGTCCCCTCTGTTTCATACCATCTTAGCCGTTGCTTGTTGACACGTAGATCATGGAGTACTAGGGCGCGGAACATAGGCCACGTCGAACCATTCTCTTGTGTGACATACTTGATCATTTCTCCTCCGAGCTCAGCAGCGCCCCGGCCTTGTGCTACCGTCCAATCAATACCAGACCGAGCTGCCTGGATAAAACCACTCGTTATCCGCTGTTCCATTTACGCAAAGAAACCCCTCTCATCCACTTGCTGCCATGTCCTCCGACCCTTTATCCTCACCTCCCCCGAAGCCTTGCCTCTTGTGCGTTGGCGGTGGCGGTATCATCGTCGATTTGGCACTACTGCTTTCGCCACGTGATGTATGATCTCCGGCCTTCCGTGTGCTTGCTGTTGCTCCGGCCTGGGAACCGCTGTCGAGTCCGGTGCCACTCGAGTCATCGTCGTCTCTCGAGACGGACAAGCATGACCCTGTGTGCGAACTCGCAAGGGAACTACGCCTACCCGAGTCCCGTGGCTGAACCCTTCCACTCCCCACGTCCTCGCGGAACGCCGTAACCACACTCGACTGCGACCCACGACGGCCCTCTTGATACGTCTTGTCCATCCCCTCTGAACTTGATGTCGAGCTTCCTTGGCTACTACGGCCCAGGCTTGGGGCCGGGCTCGGGTAATCTGACATGTTGCCAAAGTCTGCCCTCGAGCTCTGAGTCGACCCTCTTGACCTTTCTGACCGTATCACCGGTGTGTAGCGTATGGTATGCGACGAGACCTGTGCGACAGAGTCCTCAGGCCCTTCGTAGTGGGTGTACATGTCATCTAGCGTAGCCTCCTCAAAGAGAGCTTGTAGCTCGTCTGCTCCTGGTTCGAAGGAGAACTGTCGACGATGACCTTGGTGCGCACTGAGCTGTGGTTGCGAATGGAGCCTCTCTGCAATGCGCGTCTGCGTCACACCTTGTTCCAAAGCCTGCTTCTTGACATTGATGTCTTGCAAAGTTACTGCGCCCGCATCTGCTTCATTATCGAGCACGATGGAGGGTTCTTCTGGCATTGGCTCTGAGAGCAGCATCATCAGTTTGTGATTGAAGATGTCCGGCTGCAAGCCTCGTCGCCTTGCCACAAGCGTGCCAAGCTCACGGAGAGCTATGAAAGCATTACACTCAGTGGCTGGCTGCATTTCCGTCTGATGAATTGACGTCTCGTCTGATAGTGCATCACCGGATCTTGCAGAGAAGTCTGAGCTATCAGAACCCGTGACGGACGATGGCGGCCGAGCCTTGCGCATTGTACTCAAGTCTAGCTCGCTCTGAACATGGCGTGAAAGCGTAGTTTTCTCCGAGTCAGGAGGAGTACCAACCAGTAATTCCGAAGTGTTAGAGAACCGCTTAGATAGTACCGCCATCTTGCTGGAAGGGGACACCGGTCGGCCATGAAGTACTGGATGAATTAGACTGACTCTGAACTCTTGGTGAACCGTCATCTACAACTTGCCTCTATCACTCAGACGGTTGATTTCCGCGTCAAGTTTGTCTTCGGGAAGTAACCTGTGGTCTCGTGCGAGGCTGTCGTGCGAGCTGGTCTTTCTGTGTCTCCGCTGACGATCCACAACACTTCCCTGGCGCGCTTGCACAAGTCTACAGTAATTAGACCAAGCTAGTCAGAGCGCAGTGCACATACTGACCCCATCATGCCACTTGCACCGCGGGCTATAAGTAGCTCGAGCCGGCGTATCTCCGCATGGTATGCATCTTCCGAATACGACCAACCTATCTGTGCTTGTGACCAGTCCCGAAGTGTCTCTTCCAGCAGCATCTCTAGGTGCTCCTTCTGGTCCCGAACCTTGCGGTAGTCTTCAAATACGCGAAGCAGGCCGCTGTGATGCTCTGTGGGTATTGGAGAAGATGAGCTGGTAATATGCAATCGAACGGACTGCGTCACAAGTAGTGGATCAACGTAGGCTTCGAACGGCCGTGGTGCCTCTTCACTCCATGGTTCCGAAAAATCGGGTATCCTTGCACTGTCCTTGAACGAGGCGAAAAGCGAGGTATACCGCGAGAGCTTTGGCTTAGAGTCTCGGTACAACGCCGCCATCTCCAAACGTTCACGTCGCCCATATTCAATGTCTTCGACTGCAGTTCCTGCAGTCAGGGTACTCACCGGGGTTTGTGATCTACTGCTGTGCAGTGTCTTTAGCCAGCTAGGTTGACGAGGTCTGTCACCTTGGTCTTCGGTAGCTGTGGAGCGTTCGCCGTCAGATCTGAGCGAAGAGATCTTGGTTTGCTTCTTGGGGTGTTTACTGTGGCCTAGGCGCCAGCCCCTACCATCTGGCATGTTGTTTTCCTGTGCAAGCTCTCTCGATAGGTGAGTAGCTACGGAGAGCCCGGGGAGTTGCGCGACGTATAAGTCCATATCCTTGACAGGTCACGATTGCCAGTTGAGTGAGGCTGTGGAAAGTGGCCGTGGTAAAGGTGATTGCTGTGATTGACGGGCAGGTGCTGCCGCGGGGCCAGCTCTCACCCTCACTACCCTGACCGACATCATTTGGAGCAGCTCACCTTCACCAAATATGGTAGCACGTGACGTCTATACGGCTGCCTAAGTGTCGATTCTGGAGTGAAACTAACTCTTCAACATCTTTACTGCCCTTTGCAAGTATGGCGCTGTCATCGTTGCTCCTGCCATTTTCTGGACTCAACCCAGCACCTCACGTTTGTATCGGGCCATGCATCCAACCCCCCCTTGATGAAATGCGTGGACATTCAGAAGACAAGTAGCCATGAACGCCGCACTAGAGCTCGCGTCATGTTGGGGTTTGAAAAGAAGGTAAAAATATTGCTAATGTTGACAGGCGCACGAAGTGGCCAGGTGAGCGGTGTGATGTCCTGCAAGTGCATTCAATGTTCGTTGGGAGCATACATACTGATGGCTAGTCCACAAATTCGTGTGTTTGTCGCAACCACGAGCGACTATATTCATCAGTCGGGGTGTTTTGACGTTAAAATGGTTCGGCCCCAAAACGGCTAGATAGGTACATACTTGGGTACTTAGTAAGTAGCGAAAACTGGTCCACCAGGGCACTACTCTCGAACCACTTGAACCTATACTTCATACTTGCATCGCAACAAGATGTCGCTATCTTACGCATATTCCTGATCCGGAGAATTATTAGGCCCATAATACATGCCACCCAAGGAATCGTTTGTATCGCATAGCCGCCTCCAAGATCGTTGCCAAGGGACATAATATTCCGTGTTTCGGTTGAGTTTGAGTACTGTTTCAGCACACTCAAACCGCCTAGCAATTGCGATAACTTGGCTGAACAACACTCAGTCTAGAACTTTGTTAAGAGATGTTCAGTATAATGATATGTATAGTCGAGGTGATAGTACGTAATACGGAAATTCGAGGTGGTGGGTGTAAGGTGGAGAGTCGGGATGATGAGCGTAGAGAGCTCACTGCAAGGCAGCAAGACTACCATTACGTGACACAACTTCAAATGCCTCAGTGGCACCATCTCAACAATGTCCAATGCAGTCAGACGCGCGTCGGTTATAATTCAGGAAGCCATCGACACGTCTCTGACAGCCTTGACACACATGGCCAGCGAGCATCCCCGACCGTGCCCACCCCACAGAACACAAGAGCTCCACTACCCGCCAGGCGTGCAGGACAGAGGGCTGTGCATTCGCCCATATACCGCCAAGGTGGTGCCAGGGAAATATAGAATCCGGTTTCAGTCTGTCTGGTTTGAGGCACCAAGTGAAATATACGAGGTTAATGTGTGATTAGCAGTGATCCTGGACAAGCAAGGCGTTGTATTGCGTACATACCTTTGTCTTGTTGACATTTATAAGGCAACGTCCCAGCGAGGTCCTAAGGTATTCCATTCTTCAGCCTCAAACTACCTTTCTCTTCTTCATATTCGCTCTTTGTCGCAGTGCGACTTTTACCATCTCACACATCCGTTTCAACTTTTCCTTGAACTACCGCGACTGCAACTCTACTCGAATACTCTCGAACCCAACCATAATCACCTAAACACTATTTCCAAAATGAAGTTCGCCATTGTCGCCACCATCATCTCCATGGCTGCTTTTGCCGTTGCTGCTCCCATTGCTAGCGAGCGTACGTCTCCCTGTACAACTCCTTGGAGATGGGAAAGGAAGAAACTAACAAGATGCATAGAAGTCGCCGCCCGCCAGAACCATGGCATGTGCGTCAAGTCCGACAACGGCGAGATTACTCAAATCCCCAACTGCTAGATGTGATACCCCAAGAGTGGAAGGCCAAGACGGAGTGTGGCGATGAAGAGAACTGGGGTGTAGGCATACGAATAAAGAGTAGAGACAGCCTGCAACAAACTCATAATATTCAAAGCACCCAGGCTGCGACCATTAGCAGACCACAAATCATCCATGGCAATAAATTCAGTATCTTCTACAAACCATACATCTAGAGTTGTCCAACGTGATTAGTCGACACCCAAGAGCTTAGACGTATCCCCCTCACAAGACAACGAGACATATGTCAGAAGCGTCAAGCAGAGGTAGCGATGACAGTCTTCACCCGTGTAGTTGTTAGCGCTATCACTCTTCAAGCGCTAGTCGCCGTTTTGTTGGGGTAAGTACATGTTCGTCCACCTGGGTTAATCCTTCCACGTTTCGCGGTTCCCATACTCGGCCTGGCGCCGAAACGTAGGCGCTTTGGAACACGATGGTTTCATTTGGGGGCTTGCCTCCTTGGGTAGCTCGCCTAAGGGCTGAGCGTGAGATGAGCTATAGTCGAAAAGTGTGTGTGTGTGTGTATCTGAGAGAATAGGCAAAGTCTACACTTTGAATCCCCCGCAGATACTAGCTGTGTTCGGCAAAAGCAGTAGTAGTAGTGATTCTTGGCCATTATAGTCATCCGGCTACAACTGCTCGTGTTGGACTTGGCTAGCAATGTCTCAGTTTAGCTGGCGTTGGAATGTGTGTGCTATGGCGTTGGAGAAAGCGGACTAACAAGTTCTAACCACCCGTTATGGACAGGTGATGCGCTAGACATACTGGCCGTTGCCCATATTCAATAAGACTAAGCAGACCCTGCGTCTCCCGCTTCGTTGCAAATTGGGACTGCAACCCCACCATCGACGTCCAAGACTGCGACATGCACATGTGCCATTAACGGTAGTTTATTTGCTTTTCCCCGTATTGCACCCACTGGGACGTAAATGCGGAGCTCGAGGCCCCGTGACACACCAAGCGATGGCGTCAGTACACAGGACCGACCTATGGGCATCCTGTTTCCAACAAGCGAGATGATCGTCCCAAGGATTCACGAGTCGAGCGAACTGGTCGCATCTCCGTGGACTGCAAAGGACTGACAGCACCCGTCTGCCTCGAGGCGTTGCATCTTGGTCCTTGCGAAGACTGCCCCATCTCCTAGTCCCCAGGTTCCCATGCGCAACGCCAGCAGATTCACACCGTGTCCGCTCCCCCTTTGGCCATTCCCCGTGCGCACAATGCGTGTCCAGACACAGCAAAAGGAGCGGTTGTCGTGTTCCGGCGCAGTATGACGTTGCCCAAGACAAAAATGCCAGGCTTTGAAGGCCAATCTTCAGCCACCGGCCCTCTTCAGGGACGGCGCCCCTACCACGCCTTAAAGACATGTTTATCGTGAACTGCACTCAGGGCACACTCCTACGGCTTCAATTCGGCGCCTTCCATGGACAAGCTAAAGCTCAAGGCGCGTACGGCGCGCAGCAGGCTCACTGGTGCTTCTTCGTCTGCGCCTGACACGCCTGAGCAGACTGCTCCACAACAATCGCCCGTACCACAGCAAAACTCCAGCACACATGCCCTCCACGAGGGCACTTACGCCCGCGACTTTGGCGTCCCCGCCGACCAACAACCACAACAACCCACCGTCGAGCCCCCTACTTCATTGGAGTCGTCCATTGACGCGGGCAGCCATGTACCCAAGCCCTCCAGGGTCAGCGACCCGTCGTCGCATGTTACATACCAGTGAGTTCTGGCCTTGGCGAAGTAGCAAGGCGCAATAGTTAACATTCATCGAGGACGCTTGCAGCACAGCGAGCAAGGAGCAACTCTGCGCCAAACAGAGGAACACCGCCGTTCCAGCAATACCCACGCCGACCCCAAGCTGCCCGCCAAACAAGCATTGGCATCCGTCGCATGCCCTCGGGGAGTCCCTTGAGACAGACCGTTCAACAGCCAGCTTCATCCACCCCGAGAGCAGGCACTCCTTTGCCTGCGCTCGACGAGGAGCAAGAACTAGGCCAGCTTCCATCCAACAGCAGCCAATCCACCCTCGCCCATACCAACTCGGCACCCGATCAGACTCGCCTGCGGAGAATAAAGAGCGCTGTCCAGCTTAGGATACCATTCTGGGGCAAGAAGGATGAAGAAAAATCACATGCAGCAGGCCCCAGTACCACCACTGCCCAAGACGACGGAGCGACCAACTACAGTTCAGGCATGGTCGATGTCTTGGATACGCTTGACCCAGAGGTTGCGACCCTCACGTCTTTGACAAATATGCAGAATTCACTCTTCATCCCTAATCTACCCTTTCTCAACCGCCGACCTACTTACAACCTGCGTCGACGAAAGAGCGAGACGGAGAGCCTCGAGGAGATCAACCGCATATTGCAACCTGCCTTGGCTGCTCAGGCACAGGAGCAACAAGCCCCGGCTTTGCAACGCTCTCCAACTCAAACTACAGCGACGACTATGATGACAATAGACTCGCAGCTGACAGATTCACGATATGCTGTGCTCCCTGAGAATACTGATTTGTCTGGATGGAGCGTGGCCGATAAAAAGGAAGTCAACGATCACGTGCGACACATGCTTCATTCACGGCGATCGAAGCTGAAGCGCTCACTCAAGGGCTTCGGTCATTACGTTCGCAGACGTAAGTACATATATTATCAGACATTTGGTACTCCTTCTCACACACTGCAGCACTGGGTTTCCTTGTCACTCTCTATGCAACACTGATCACATTATTCGGTCTTGCCTGGGTGCTATTCTTGATTGGCTGGATCAATGTCGGTGGACAGCAGATCTATGTCGTCCATATCATTGACAGCGTTCTGGTCGCCCTCTTCGCAATTGTCGGAGACGGTCTCGCTCCCTTCCGCGCCGTAGACACCTACCACATGATCTACATAGCACACTACCATCACTATACCTGGTCACGCCGAAAGAAGGACATGCTGCCTGATCTAGCCGATCACAACGACCTGCCTGCCGAGCACGCTCCTGTATCTGGACCCAGAACTACCGATCCTAGTGACCCAGAGAAACAATGGGAGTTTACCGTCTTAACACCTAAACAGCAGGAGAAGCTCGAACATCACCAGAGCAAGTTCTGCAAATCGCACTCCTTCTACAAACCTCATGAGACGGAGACCCACTACGCATTTCCTCTTCGTTTCCTGGTCGCCATTGTTGTACTGTTGGATTGCCACTCACTCCTCCAAATCTCCCTCGGTGCATGTACTTGGGGTATCTACTACAAGAACCGCCACTTTGCCATCACTACTGTCATTCTCATTTGCTCCATCACCTGCAACGCAACAGCTGGTCTTTTGATCTGGCTTGGCGACAAGAGGACGAGGAAGAAGGATGTGCTGGAACGCATGAATAGGCAGGAGCTGACGGAGGAGGCGATCAAGGAAGTGCAGAAGAAGAAGGAGAAGGAAGGCGAGAGCAGCAGTGACGAAGCCGGTAAGGAGTCGGAGAAGAGGAGAATCAGTTTGGACGCCTTTAGGCCCAGGAAAAGCATGGACAAGGGAAGGAAGAGTATGGACAAAGGGAGGGCGAAGGAGCCGGCCCAGACTGAGCAGAACGCGTATCCCTGAATGATTTTCGTTGCATATCGTAATTATCTAATAGTCTTCTTCTTCAAGCGTACCAGCGTTGAGATACCAATCTTGCCTATTAATGTCAGAATTTGCTATGTAATCAGTACTTCGCTTTTGACTTGTATCCATGTTACTAACCGCTCCATAGCAGGAATGTATCGAAGCTCTCTTCTTCTGTTAGAATTGCCAAACGTGACTGACGCCTGACTTATGTGCAACAGCATACAAAAGCATTGGACACTGATATATGTCCGCAGCGTTAGTAGAACACAATGAACATATGCATATGTGTTTGCCTCTAGTATCATACGTAATATCACTGTTAGATGAAAGGGTATACTCGACAAAGACTCGGCTTAATTAAGGTTCACCTTGCAGGAACGCAACGATGAATGAAATGTGTGGTACACGGTTGTGTCCTTGGATTATAGCAATGACGAGAAACCTTCTGTGGTGGAATTGCACACCCCAGAACGATACTTTCATACTCGGCTTGAATGTCTTGCAGTGAACTGAAGACATCCCTATAGGGTCGATCCAACAGATCTAGCCATAACCTGCACAACACAATTACTCAAGCTACCCCACTGGAACCAGACTAATATTCAGTGTGTGTGAAAGCGGGGTCAAAAACAAAGCGGAAGGAACAAGACAAATAGCGTTGCAGGCAGTCGTGGTGGTACATTGTTCCGGTCACGGGACCACGCGTTGCCATGTATTTCTACTAGGAAAGAGCGACGTCTGTTTTGTTCTGCCCTGTATCCCCACTCCTCTCACTTTCACCACTCCACTCCTATCACCGAGGAAGGCTCAGTGCAGAACTTGCAAAGAAACTTCTCACCCTGAGACACGCCTGTGTTCTCAAACCTTACCAACCTCATCCTGTTCCATCACAATCAGTCATTCAACTGACATCATGGGTGCCTGGGGCTACTGTAAGTGAAGGGAACATTTAGTAGGGTACGACTTTGGACTGACATTGCCCTAGGTCTCTTCCAGTCCGATCATGACTTCGATATGATCTATGAGATGAGCCACGAAGCCGGCCTTGCCAAATTCGAGGAAGACGCCCGAGCTCGTGCAAAAGCAGAAGGCAAGAGTGACGAGGAAGTGAATTCTATGTGCTATATTATCTACGGCAAAGATTGCTCAGACCCCGAGCTTGTCCGCAAGCACCTCGATTCAGGTGTCCTTGTCGACATGATTGCAAAGAAGGAGTCAAAGATGCTGTCTAAACTCACTGGGTCCCTGGAACAGAAGGCCGAGTATTGTACTCGAGATCCTTGCTACGCATACGTCCTGCTCGGTGCATGTTCCATGACACTTGGTTGCCAGCTGCCTGACGCTTATGTTAGCATGCTGAAGAGGGTCTACACCGAAGGCGGGCTCATGCCGGATGCGCAGCGCCAGATGAAGAAGGCCCTTTTTGGTCCAGGTGGCTACAAGAATGGCAAGCCTTACGATTTCAAGTCCAAGACGCTCTTGGAGGTTGCCAATTCTCGTGAGGTCGAAGAGCGCGACACTGGCTCACAAGGCTTTATCATGATGAATGTCCTCAGCCCAGGCGGCATATGGGACACCGGTATGACCACATCGACAACTTCTTTGGTCTTGAAAGAACTTCGGGCACAGCACCACGAACCTGACTCATGCGGTGGCTGTGGTGCGGAGCACAGAGCTGGTGGCAAGGCTCTACTTACGTGTTCCAAGTGTCACAATCGAAAGTACTGCTCTGTCGAATGCCAGAAGAAGTCCTGGAAGGTCCACAGGAAGGTTTGCGTGCCTCCAAAGGCTTTTGCCTAGGCATCCGACTGCAATACGGTGACGACGAAAACAGTGTCTGCTATAACTTTCAAGGCCATTACAGCTGCTGCCGCCATATGATGGACATTTTGAGGGTGATCGAAGATTATATAATGGTGATATTCTAGTGGTGGATGTCATATCAAGGTGTCGCTATCCGAGAACCATGTGTAATGACTTGAAGCTGTCTCTTACTGCGAGACACGATGAGGGGACGAAGAGTAGAAGCCAACGAAATGTTATTATGATTACTGTATATCGGTAGGGCATTTCCGCTGCATTAGCTACACGCCTCAATGAATCATTGCAATCACAGTCCAATCCTTCTTTCTAATCATGAGTGAATGCCTACAAAATAAAATATTTCTGTCATATGGTATATCACTGTAAGACGACTTTCTTTAAATCATCCATGGCTCCTAATCACATCTGGACCAAAACTTCAGGTTCGAGTACAAAAGCATAGCACACATATCATATATAAGCACACTTATCTAAGTGTATCTGATTGCTCAATTTCAGACCCTGAAGCAGTGCGATACTACCTCAAGAATTTCTATGATGCGCGTACACGAATACGCAACAAACTATTGTGATATCCCGACAGGAGGGGGTTTTTTTTAAAAAAAAAAAAAAGTGGAATACAACGCCGATATCTCCAATGCAGTGCAGTGCAATGCAATCGTTTTTTTGAAACCCGAAACGCCCCCCCCAAAACCCCATGAATAGTGTTACATTTATCATCACAAAAAGGACTGCTGGAGGGAACCCCTCCCAGTTGATGCTACGCACGTAGCTGCAGTATACATTGCAAAGCTACTCTTTTCCACACAATGTCCAACAAGCATACACACGCGCGCGCTAAACAGGGAATGTGATCAAGCAATACGAGAAGAGCGATAAGAGCACTACTGTAGACCCGCCTTGTTCGTCTTGACCGTATGAGGAATCGGCTTCAAGATACCCTTGTTATCGCCAGCACCAAGCGCGGTACCCGTCGACCACCCCATCTTCATCATCAGCGCGTGACCCCTATTCTCAGGACCCAGCTCTGGAGCATTCGCACCGACAGTCTCGCCATCCTTGTAGCCTAGCTGAGGCCGGCTGCGCGTACCGCTCTGTTTGTGCTTGATGGTCGAGAATCTGCCTGCGCGTCCGGCACCACTGGCACCCTGGGGGTAAAGGGGGCCGCGGAGACGCTTCTGGAAGCCTTTCTTTTGGATAGCCATGTCGAATTCATTGTCGGTGTATGTGCGGGTCCGGGAGGTCTTGGAAAGAATGGTGAATCTGTCCATGCCGTCACCGCGGGAGCGGGAGTTTAGGTTGAAGAATGCTGCGGCTTGGTGGACGGTGGCGCGGCGATAGGCTTCCATGGGAGGTAGCGAGAGTGTCTGCATGTCGCCCATTAAGAACTCGCGTATTTCTTCGACGATGTCTTCCATATCGATGCCACCTTGGTATTTGACCTTGAGGTTGGGTCCTTTGCCCTTTCTACCCAGCAAGCCCTGCTGACGTAGCTCCTCACGTTCCGCCTTCTTGAGGCGCTTCTTTGCTCTGTCGGCCTCCCAAGCATTTTGAAGCTGCTCGTTCAGGTCAGAGTCATCCAGTTCCGGTGGTGGCTGACCGCGTCGGCCTTTCTTCTTGGGCTTTAGTGAGGGTCGTTCGGTGTCCATAATGTCGAAACCGCCATATGGGTCCATTTCAAGAGCTGCAACCATTGCAGATGCAGATGGGAACGTAGGATCCTTGTTACCGCGCGCACGGCCTCGCTGCTTCTTGTTCGGTTTGCCGTAACCGCCGAAAGACGACTTCTTAGTGGGGCCCGATGCGTCGAAGAAGTCGTCAGCACCGTAGAGAAGCACTTCGTCAGCGCCCAAGCTGAGCTCTTCTTGTTTTTGTAGGATCCTAGCGATGGTCTCATCATCTAGTTCTTCAGCATATGCGTCTTCATCTTCATCTTCGTCATCTTCTTCATCGTCATCATCGTCCTCGTCGTCATCCTCACCCTCATCGTCCTCATCTTCATCTATATCTTCATACTCATCTGCAGAATCACTGCTTGTGAGCATTTGCTGCTCACGCTCAAAGGCTTCGGCCTCAAATGCTTGGATCATTCGCTTCTCTGTAGGGCTTTTGAGAAACGTAGCTGGCAGCCAACGAGCGTCATCGGTGATAGAACCTTCGTAGACGCAAAGATAATGAAGGCCAGATTTACGGGTCCGTTTGGACAGGATGCGTACAACTGTATCCATGACGTCGGATGAGGTGCTCATGTCCTCGAAATCTCGCAGCATATCCGAGTCCCAGCCTTCGCTACCTTGATCGTCATCTCCGCCATCTTGACTTCCAGATGCTGGCTCCCAATCATTGTGGCTGCCTCCATCCAAATCCATTTCGCGACGAGCAAAACCAGATGCAGCCAACATATCATCGGTAAAGCCAAACTCCTCAACGTTTTGCATGTAGTCATCCATAGCCGCATCACGCGAATTGGCGTTGTCCTGCAGGAGAGCTTCCATATCGAGTCGTTCTGAAACGGGCAGCCACCCAATATTGGGTTTACTGCGGTGTTGCCACTCAGTGGTGGTACCCTCCCAGGCAGGTTTGTCACCCCTCCGCTTTGCAAACTGATTCCGATCCACCTCGTCAGGATCCGACACTGTCTCTTCTTGTACCTTAGATGCACTGCTCATGCTGATGCTGAGCTCTACAGATACTTGGGTAGCAGCCTCAGTTGGTGGTACAGGCTCATCCTTTGTAGAGTCATTTGCTGTAGTAGTGGCTGGTGGTTCTGGGTTTATATCCGAAGCAACAACAGGCGCAGCTGGAGGCTGGACACAGCGCCCTCTGAAAAGGACCTCATCTGCACTTGACGAAGCATCTGAAGGCACAGGTGATGGACTGCGAATAGCCATCTGCGCCATGGCTTCAGCATTGTCCGGCGTGGAAGAAGGCAAGGAAGACGTAGCAGACGCCGGGCTGGACTGAGAGGGCTCTTCTTGGGCAGGCTTGACGTCGGGCAAGTTCTCCTTCAGGGTACCTTGGAGATGTCCAGCGCTTACGAATTGGATCGGCATGTGACGTAGCTTGTTATCTGCTTTGAAGGCGGCAGTACGATGGCTCGACACCCAACGGGCCTCGTCCTTTAGAGAGAATTTAGATGCGATTGCAGCTGGCACAAACGTATCCTCGTCGTGGAGGGCCCATGATTGCGAAGAGCGTTTGGCGGGCGCACGGTGCGGAGTGCTCTTCGCTGAACCGCCCTTGGCCTTGGTCTTGCCCTTCTTCTTTCCACGGGACATTGCTGCAGAATCGCACTGGGTTTGCAGGGGGAGCGATGTGGAAGGGAGTGGTGGCGACACAGCGGCGAGGGCGAGGTTGAGCTTTGGATTGAAGATGATGCGCACTTCCTAGTCCACTTGGCGGGGGGAACGGCGTGGGGCTAGTCGGAGCTTATGACGATGCGCCGATTATGCAAGCTCGCAGTGCAAGCCCCAAGCTGAACAGGACAAGTGGAATATAAAGCGCGTTCGCGGGCTGCTCTCTGGACAGCTTGGCCCATATTTGGATAGACAGCGAGCGACATACGCATGTAACAACACGTGACTGGTTGCAAGCTGTCATCCTGTAAGACGTAGGCAAGTGCAGTCCAGAAGCGTGTCGGAGCTTGGGATAGCCCAGATAATAGCCAGGTGATAGCCACCCCCCCCCCGCCACAACCTTGGTAGAGCCGCATATGACCTGGAGCCCGCCGCAGCTCCCTCTCCACATTCTGCGTTCCATATCGCGCAGGGGCTCCATCTTTGTTGCAAGACCGTCGTTGCTGCCCAGATACCCAGTGCAAATACCCAGGGCACAATACCGACACACATGTAGCCAGCTCTAGGCAACCTCATCTCGGACCTCCGCATCACCTCCGCACCCAACGGCCGCCTAGGCCCTACCACCACCCACGATACTACCCATCATGCACGACTTTGAGCGCGTCAGCCGCAATATCGTCCGCACCTTCTACGACCCTCCGCCTACGAACGACTCCAGCGAACCCATATGGCTGCTGGGCCAGCGTTACGATCCCCGTCCGCCACCAGCTAGGCCGCCGCCTAGTGATGCCGCGGCCGCCGACGAACCCACTCCACCGTCTGAACGCAACGAGGACGAAAGCTGGATACGCACAAGCATCGACGTTTCTGAACGCAAGGAAGCTCCAAATGGCGAGGATCCCGCACAGTACGGCAACTGGCCGTCGGCATTTCTTGATGACTTCGAGTCGCGCATCTGGATGACATATCGCTCAGGTTTCGCAGCGATACAAAAGAGTCAGGACCCAAAGGCAACAAGTGCAATGAGTTTCCGTGTTCGCATGCAGAATCTGGCATCTCCAGGCTTTACCTCTGACACAGGTTTCGGCTGCATGATCAGAAGCGGGCAGAGTATCCTGGCCAACGCATTGCAGATACTACGCTTGGGCCGTGACTGGAGATACCAGGACAAGCCCACCGCTAAAGAGCACTGCGAGATACTTTCCCTATTTGCCGACGACCCGAGAGCGCCCTTTTCCATTCACCGCTTCGTTGAGCACGGTGCCGCCGTCTGCGGAAAGTACCCTGGCGAGTGGTTCGGCCCTTCCGCAGCGGCGCGGTGTATCCAGGATCTGGCCAACAAGCACCGCGAGGCTGGCTTGCGAGTCTACGTGTCTGGCGACGGCGCGGACGTGTACGAGGACAAGCTGAAGGAGGTTGCCATAGACGACGATGGCGAGTGGCAGCCCACACTAATCTTGGTCGGCACTAGGCTAGGCATCGATAAGATCACGCCTGTTTATTGGGAAGCGCTAAAGGCGAGCCTGCAAATGAAGCAAAGCATAGGCATTGCAGGGTGAGGCACAATACGGAGCTATTTGACGTGCTCTGCTTGTTTGTTATGCTAATCTCACACAGTGGCCGTCCATCTGCTTCGCATTACTTTGTCGCTACGCAGGGAAATAACTTCTTCTATCT